GTGTTCAGTGACCCCAAGTCCATCTTCATGGTACTGCGATGAGCTAACAGTAAACAGAGAAAACCATAGGTAAAGATAATTAAGAAATGTTTATCAAGATGTGGTCTAATTGATCATTGTTTCAGCCCAGTTTCTTCAGAAATCCTTCCTGCTCAAGATAACAAGGTGATTCTCAGTAACTGATTGCTCACTGTCATGGTTAATTATCCTCCTCTTTTGTCGATATACACTATCAATATATCAGAGAAAATTCAATATATTAGAGGAAAGAAATATATTAATACTATGTCCTGAGGGGTGCCTGAGAAGCACATGGCTGTAGGCAGCCCTTTCTTCATTCCCTTTTCTCTTCCTGTAGGTCCCATCTCAAGATCACTTATTAAAAATTATCACTGCAATTTAGAGATGGCTGCAACACCTGGAGAATTGTGTGCCTGTATGCACAGAAACAAATAAGAAAGGGACGAAACATTCCATTTCTTGCTCATTGTTAGCAGAGAATGCTGGGTCAGACTGATGCAAAGATGACTGACATGATAGGAAAGGACCAGAACGGTGGGTCAGAAAGATGTTAGATGGAGCTCAGAACTCCAGGTGATTAACCTCAGGCCTCCAAGTAAAAGTATACACACGTTCTGTCTCTTGGTCACCAAAACCATATTCCATTAAAGGGAAAGGGCAATAGCAAGGAATGGTAGAAGCAGGAAGGTGTAAAGTGAAGGAATTCTCTCATTTGTGTTATCCAAATGGATTGTGGGAGTAGCTGGTTGAGAAGAGTGTTGCACAAAGCTGCACAGCGGCAAACACACTAGGGTTAGTACAGAACCTACAGCTGCAGAAGGCAGGCTCTACCTGGTAAACACAGACTCTCGATTATCCCCCAAGTGTGTGTGCAGCCTCCTGGACTGGGTAAAAGGGATTCGGATCATTAACTTGGCACTAAAACATTAAAATATAAGAGATAGTAATGTTACACAAGCATGGAACTCAGAGAAGTGTTTACTTTGTTAGCTGCAAAAGGTGAGGCACAAAGGTGGGGAGATTCTATGCCGTTGGGGAATGCACCCTCAGAAATCTCTACAGATTCAGTCACCGGGAAACACAGAATGACAAGATAACAAACTAGAAGTGTTTAAACTGGTGTTATAGGATAAGCTGAGCCATTTTTTTCTTTAGGGTTGTTGAGAAGGGCATGGTCTCTAGCTGAGCATCGCTCCCTGATGAGGCCCTCTTAGACCAAAATAGCTTAATGGAGGATAAGTGGGGTGAAGACAAAGTTCACAGAAGAGATATATTTTTACAAAACCTTTCCAGAAATCCTTATCTTATGTTATGTGCACTAAATCCGTGGCCAGTTCAGAAGCACGGGTGAAATCTCCTGGGCTTGCAACAGGCTTCTGGGTAAAGGAGAAATCTTGGGACACAACTGCACCCTGTGAGCCTGACAGTTTCTGGATACACATTGAAATATATTGTTTAGTGTTATGGAGAAACTTCCACGTGCCTTACAATCTGTGTTATGAGAGGTTGGAGGGAGAGATCGGGCTTGAAGAATCACTGGCTTTCTTTCCTGCCATCTCCAGAATCACCCTACATTACCTGCTGCTCTCGTTGGATCTGTTTCCTGTGTTGACCATGCCTGGGTGGAGCTGCTTGGTGACAGGGGCAGGAGGGTTTCTGGGGCAAAGGATTGTCCACTTGCTGGTGCAGGAGAAGGATCTGGAAGAGGTCAGAGTCCTGGACAAGGTCTTCAGACCAGAAACCAGGGAGGAATTCTTCAGTAAGTCAACTTGAGGATTTGGCATGTAACTGCATAACAATTGATGGCTAGATTCAGGGAGGGCTCCTCCCTTGTCAAGTACATAAAGACACTTGCAGTCATAACACTTCTCCATGCCCACATTTATCAGGAGGAAAGAGACCACACAGCATAAAAGACACTATATAGTTGGGGAGACTGAGTTCAGACTGACAAGTTCTCTCTCCTTTCCTTGTAGTTCTTTAGTGTGGACTTGCCAGTTGCTGGGTAATATCCATAAAGATCATTAAGCCAGAGGGTTCAGCACTAGCTCCCAATCTCTCCCTATTGCTACTGGTCTATTTGTTTTGCTCAGATTTGCTCTGTGGATGGGGTGGGAGATTTGGGGGAGCTTGGGGGGACTTAGGGGGCCTGGGGGTCACCATTCATTCAGCATCTTGGGTGGATGTCAAATAAAAGGAGTAAAAAGAGCAGGGACAGGCAGACAGGAAAAGATACAGAGAATGAGACTGAGAAAGTGAATTTCTGAGTAAATACATGAAGTATACCAAGAGACTGACACAAAGCCAGAGTGAGCAGGACTGTCCATACCTCACCTGGATTGTTCACACATATCTCTCACCATTCTTCCCATGGATTTATCATCACTAAGAATATGATTGCAGAATTCACTGAGGCAGGCCACTGTTCCTTTGTCAATTTGTTCTCTCATGTACAACTGGGCCAGCTGATTTCATGGGATAGTTTAACACCTATTCGTCCCCCAGGTCATTAAAAGAACCTTGCAAGGAAGTAGGAAAGAATACTCACTCACCTGGACAGCAAGGACTCTGAGTTGGAAAAAATAAGACAATAGCAACATTATATGATTAATGATGATCACAGAGCAAGCAGAGGTCCCTCACTTAAACTCCATTATTTTTTCCAGGGTCCAGCTCTTGGCCCCAAAGTCTTTAGTGTTTCCCACTGTCTATATATGACTCAAGCTAATTCTTTGCCCCCTCCTCAGCTTCAAGTGTAAACTTACACTACCTAGGGATCTGCCCTGCACACAGGTCCCTTCATAGCTCTCTGATACAACACTCACCCTCTACTCCACTTTTTTGTTTCTGACCTCTTCCAATGTCAATTTCCTCCTCTATCAGCTTGAAGGATGCTTCCAGAAAGCCATATATTAGCACACAGCCAATTCTATTAGTTAGAATCCTGATGTGTCAGCAATATTTGCAAATATCCAAGGCTTGGTCTGAAGGAACAACACCATAGAGAGTACTTCCTGGGGTAATGGATAGAGAAGGTCCTGGATAAAGGTAAACATGGAGATTCCTGTAAGTACAATTTCTTTGCCATCATCTGTGGCACATACTGTGGTGACAACTCATTAGCTCTGTATAACATTTGTAGAATGTAATTAATGTTTCTACCCTCTCTTTCTGTAAATAAATAGTTACAGAGGTTAACTGGCTTGCCCAAATGCCACAGCCAAAATAAGTAAATTGGAGCCCAGGAAGTCTAGCTGCAGCCTTTACACACTGAACATTCAGTGTGGTTAGGAGCTTCTCTGGGTCTCTCTCTCTCTCTCTCTCTCTCTCTCTCTCTCTCTCTCTGTCTCTCTGTCTCTCTCTCTCTCTCTCTCTCTCACACACACACACACACACAGTTCACATGATAGCAACACTCCACCATGTTGCTGTGAAAATGCTTGCCACACCCAGGTGTCCTAGATAAGATTGCAGCTATGGCTTCACCAGAAAACACTCAAAGAGGCCTCTCCTGGGATCTCAGGGACCCCAAATAGTTCATGGATTAGAGTCTATTTCAATCCATGTCTGGATTCCTCCTGTCTTGTCACACAGTGGCATCCCTGTACCAGCCTGTCTAAATCAGTAGCAAAGGAGAAGGACAGAATGGGCAGATAGGTTCATAATCCAAGAATCCAACTCTCAGACAGGTACCCACTTTCTCCTGAGAAGTCCCTTGCTTGCCTCTCTCTACTTCAGGGCTTTCCTGGAGTTGCTTGATGAGAGGTGGGAGCCTAGATAGGACACACTTAGTAGAGAATTAGGGGCAAGCCATTCTATTTGTGTTCCTGGAGATGCTTCTTCAGCCCTGGATTTCTCCTACCCTTCTTGCTGCTCCTTGGCTTCATTGGCAACTTCAGTTCAGTGAAATGATTTTAACCAGCCTCTGTAAAATTAATTCCAAGCAACCCCATAGAATGGGCTAATGGCACCGGTGGAGACCGGGCAAGCGAGGTATCCTTAGCCAATGTAGCTGTAACTGTGTCCCCAGACTTCTTGAGCCTCACTTTCCTTGTCTATTAAGTAGGGTCCAGAGGACCAGTCTCTAGAAAGTATAGGAAGGAAGTAGGAAGAAAAGGAGGGAGGAAGGGAAGGGAGGGAGGGAAGGAGGAACAGAGGGAGGGAGAGGGGAAGGGAAGAAGGAGGGAGGGAGGGAAGGAGGAAGGGAGGAAGTCCTAAAGTTGGGTACAAATTAAGAAGCCAAAGCAAATGTAGAGCACTGGTGTAGACTGCATGTGGCACACAGTTCATTTTGCAAGTTGAGTGACAAAATAATAGGCAGTGCTACCTGTGGGTTTCAGAAAACCCCAAAGACACTACCCGCTGCCTTTGAGTAGATGGCTATAAGGGAGTCCCTGGAAAGCCTCAGTTACAACATAGACATCTGGTTTGCTTGATATCTCATAGGAGATATTCCATTGGATCCATACTTAAGCCCCATCGTACTTTTATTGCCAGTGCCTCTACTCTCCCTGAGTCATTTAAACTGAGTTATAGGTGCTGCATTAACTATTCTTTTTGTGATTAACAGAGACCCAGAAAATACCAGGCTCTAGCATGGGGGAAGGGCGACAACACATCTAACATCCATACCTATATGACTTCCTTCTCTGCTCCCACTGCTGGGAATGGGAATTCCTAATCATATCCCTGGAATAGATACCCTGATTGCTAATCTCACTTCTACCCAGACCTGCCCCCGTTACCTCCTGAGTCTCTGACAAATACTTCACCTTCCCACTACTCTCTTGAACAAGTTTCATGCCCTAGGCATATTTGGTTTCTTCCTAATCTGCTTTTCCTTCCTTCCATATGTCAGGCTTCCTGGAGTTTCCCCCATTTTGTCAATTCTTGTTCATCTGGGTAACTGACACCTGTGTACAGGGAATACCCCAGCCCACAAACAAGCTTCCCAATGACCTGTCTTGTGTTCCACACAGAGCTTCAGACAAAGACCAAGGTGACAGTGCTGGAGGGAGACATTCTGGATGCCCAGTGCCTGAGGAGAGCCTGCCAGGGCATCTCTGTTGTCATCCACACCGCTTGCATCATTGATGTCCTGGGTATCATTTCCAGACAGACCATCATAGATATCAATCTGAAAGGTAAGGTAACTGTAAAGAAGGTGAAAGCTGGAGTGTTAAAAATGTCAGCCCAGATCAGAAAGGGATGCTCTCACCACAGAACACCTGATGTGCTCTGAGTCTAATGTCTCTGCTCACTGGACCCAGATGGAACTTCTCAGGGCTACTACATAGCTGAGACCCTGCATGTAGAAAGTAGGTGGCTTAGGATGTGAGGTCACATTGATGTCACTCCAACTTCAAGGAAAGCTCTTCCATTGTTCTCCATGCCAAGGATCCATTCCAAGGACACTGGACTCCAACTCCAGGCATTGAACAACCATTCACCCATTGTCTCCCTTGGGCCAGACCTAGACTAGACCTTGCAGGTACCTTCTCTGAATGCTTTTAGTTCTGAAAGAGTTGCGGCCTCACACTGTGCTGGCATTTACTAGAATTCTCATCAGGGAAAACACAGTCCCTTTTAGTTTTCTACTAAGAGAAACAGATGAGGTCAGTCAGTACTGTGTTCCAGAATGAAAACTAGAAAGTGTTGCAGAGTTTTTCTTGTCTGGACTGGTCCTGCCACCACTTCAGCCCCAAATAAACAGACAGACGCTATATGGTGGCTTGGGCTACTTATTGGCTAGCTCTGCCTTAATTATTAACCCATAACTACTAGTTTATATACTTCTACATGGCCTTATCTTACCGGAGAATGCCTGGTGCATCCTATCTTCCTGGTCTCCACATGTCAACTGTTCCTTTTCCAGAATTCTCCTTGTCTCCTAGACCCACCTATCTTTCTTCCCCATTGGTTGAACAGTATTCTATTCATTAGACAATAAGAGAAACATATACACAGAAGGACAACCCCCATCAAAAAGGAATATTTATCACCTCTGCTTTGAATAGCTGAGTAAACAAAGTCATAGATAGAACCAAGAATGCTTTAACAGTGTTTACAGGAACATAGCTGTGGCTCTACTTCTCCCCAACCCAATAATCATTTATTCCCTGACTCAGACTAGTTGTCCTTGTGACAGTTTTGATTCTCATCAAATGACAAAAAGTAGCTGTGAAATATCTATGCAATATATATGTGACCTGTACACAACTGTATTGAGCTTGCATGATGTTAATTCTTGGACAGCTCTTACTTAAAAAGAACTACTCTTGTTCATAGTCTAAGAAGATGATCTGCTTTTGTACATTTAAGAAACATGCATGGATTTATATGATTAAATTATAATTGTCTAATGAATACATTAGGAATGGATAAACAAGAAAACTTAGGTGACTTTGAAAATAAAAGGACACCCAATTATACCCACTTCTTCATGCAAACACTCTTAGGGCTGTGAACACAAAAGCCTCGAGGTTCTTACTGTCTGAATTCCAACTATTGTCCCCAGGTTATACCATAGCAGCTGTGCATCCAGGAGACAGGAGATGCATGCTGATCTGTAAAGGTTGCTCTATTAGACTAGAAGATGAAAATAGTCATGGAGCTGTGCACACAGCAAACCCCCTGGCTTATCCACCTCCTGACACTGACAGTGTGTTGTCTTTGATTAGGTACCCAGAACCTGTTGGAGGCCTGTGTCCAGGCTAGTGTGCCAGCCTTCATCTACACCAGCTCAATTGATGTTGCAGGGCCCAACTCTTACAAGAACATCGTCCTGAATGGCCATGAGGAAGAACAACATGAAACTATATGGCCTGATCCATACCCATACAGCAAAAAGATGGCTGAGAAGGCAGTGCTGGCAGCCAATGGGTCCACCCTGAAAAATGGTGGCACTTTCTACACTTGTGCCTTAAGGCCTATGTACATCTATGGGGAGAAAAGTCCATTAATTTCCATCATAGTGATCAGGGCCCTCAAAAATAGTGGTATTCTGGATGTTACTGGAAAATTCTCCATAGTCAACCCAGTGTATGTGGGCAATGTGGCCTGGGCACACATTCTGGCTGCCAGGGGTCTACGAGACCCTGAGAAGTCACCAAACATCCAAGGTCAGTTCTACTACATCTCAGATGACACCCCTTACCAAAGCTATGATGATTTAAATTGCACCTTCAGCAAGAAATGGGGCCTCCGCCTTGATTCCCGTTGGAGCCCTCCTCTGCCCCTGCTCTACTGGCTTGCTTTCCTGCTGGAAGCTGTGAGCTTCCTGCTGCATCCAATCTGCAAGTACAGGCCTCCCTTTAACCGCCACTTGGTCACACTGTCAAATAGTGTGTTCACCTTCTCCTACAAGAAAGCTCAGCGAGATCTGGGCTATGAGCCCCCTGTCAGCTGGGAGGAAGCCAGGGAAAAAACTTCAGAGTGGATCGGGTCACTAGTGGAGCAGCACAAAGGGACACTGAACACAAAGACTCAGTGACGACACTGGGTGCTGTCAGGAAATAGTTTTCAGGTCTTCCAGAAGGGACAGAGGTACAACCAAGGTCCTCCTGCCTCCCTTTGACACAGAGACCAACTTAGTGTCTTCCTCAAAACAGGGAAGTCATTTCTCATCTTTGGAAAATTCCCATTGCTTTATGAATTGCAATCAAAAGAACAATAAATATTTGTTAATGCCTCATCTGCAGAAGGTATTTTTCTATCCTATCATACACACACACACACACACACACACACACACACACACTGCTGTCCAGACAAGGCCATTCGAGGATCAGAAAGGGATTGAGGATCTGAGGTAAACTGAAGAAAATCAGGGCCAGAATAGAGTTAAGAGACTAATCCCAACACATTGTCCTTTTGGGGGTGTACTAGATGGCCAGATTGCCATATTTTATGTAATCTGGACCTGACAGAAGCAATGCTTAGTTACAATATCTCCAGGAAGATTCCTAGCTGCGGCCACGAGGAGGCGCCCTCTAATGAACATTCTCAGAGTTGCAGTTTTTCCTCACAGATAAATCTACTGCTGTCTGATGGGTTTTGTTCCAGCTTCACTATAAAAATGCTGGTATGAAGGTTGCAGAAACACATAGAGACAGCTGACCTTAGCAAGGAGGAACTAACGGGACCCCAGACTGATAGCTGAGAATCCAGCATGGGACTAACTCAGATCCCCTGAATATGGGTCTCAGCTAGAAGGCCTGAGCAGTCTAAGGGACCTCAGACAATGAAACCAGGGTGTATCCCTGGTGCACAAAAGGACCTTGCGAACACATCCCCCATGGAGGGATAACTGCCTTAACCTAGAGACAGAAGAGAAGCCCCAGTCCCTACTTCACATGACCTGTCAGATCTACATGACCCCAACTGGATAGCATTCCCCTACATATGGAATTGGGGTGGGGGGATGGGAGGGGAGGGTGAGAGGGAAGAGAGAGTAAAAGGGAGGGAGGGGGAACTGGGATCAACATGTAAAATAATAAATTAAATAAGAAAAAGAAAAGAAACAAAAAAATGCTGGTGTGAGAACAGTAGATAGGGGCTAAGAACTTTTCTCCCCCAGCTCTAGACAGAACTAAAAATAAACCCACTCCCCTTTACAAGAAAATGCCTCATAGTATTCTCTTTCTAAGGCACAGAGAATTGGACCTCAAATCCCAGACTCTGAGGACCAATTTTTATTTGACAAACCAAGAGAGTAGGGAGAGGCTTTGGGTCGATGCTCTGGGATTCCCAGCAGTTGCTGGGGTGGGGAGATTTTCTCATTTCCAAGCATGGTGGTACCAACTTGCTATAAAGGGCTATTGGTCAAGAGAATGGGCAAGGGCTCCAGCATGACCTTATTCAGAAGGAAGTTGTACTGCTGGGTTTGGGATTTGAAAGTTCTCAGTAAACTGTTGGGAATGCTTCATTCTTCTCACTTAACTTTTCCAGTTTCTAAAAATGTGGAGTGTAGCCTCTGGGCTTTTCTCTTGCTCTAGTCTATATACCTTTTGTTCTTTAACTTCTTACTCTGTGCCTTACTATGTAGCTGGGTGGCTGTCTCCTGGTGTCTTCTGTCCTCCCCTCACTCCTTGGTCCCTCTCCTCAGATGTCTCCGCCTATTTATTCCCTCTGCCTACCAGTCCAGTCTATCCTTTCTCCCAACAAACTATTAGCCATCCCTCTATTTATTAGACCAATCAGGTGTTTTAGTCAGGCATAGTAACACTGTTTTACAGAGTTAAACAAATGCAACATAAAAGAATGCAATACATCCTTGCATCATTAAGTAAATGTTCCACAGCATAAACACATGTAACACATCTTTAACGAATATTCCACAACAGGAGAGTGCTGGTTTCTTAGAACCCTTTGCTTACCAGAGTAGCCCCGGGGCATGTGAACACATTTTGTAAAGACTTTTGGGTAAGAAACATACACATTTAGAATTGCTCTCACGTGGACATCTCTTCCCCCCCCCCCATGCCTGAAGCTGGACAAGCCCCAGACGCCTCCAGACTCAAGGCAGATGCTCTTTCCTACTGTGGATTTATGATTCCACACCTGAGGCTGAACACAGCACTGTCTCTCTGTCTCTGTCTCTCTCTGGTGTGTGCAAGGAAGCTTACTTGGAACTTTTGAAGTTTGTGTTCTACAAATCTGTTAGTAATTCCCTGAAAGGGGGTTTGACAAACAGAAATCAGTGCCTTGGGGGTTGTTCGAGTGTGAGCTTTAGTCAAAGCCTAATCTGTTCTGCACATAGAGCCTCTAGGAATTGAAAACTTGCACTCATTTTTTAAACAAGTTGTGTTTTCTGTAACTACCTGGGCATTCTAAGTCCATGTGATCCTCTTGTCATGTTATTTTTGTCTGGATCTGTGTAGACTGCCTGGATGAGGGAAAGAACAATGTAGCCTCAACAGTTCTGTTAGAAAGGAGACAAACTTCCCTCCAACCTCCTCTGGTAATGAGGGACAAGGCCATTGATAAGATCCACCTGTCTCTACCTCCTGACTGCTGGAATTAAAGGCGTGTGCCACCACCCGAATTGTCATTTTTAAAACTGTGTTGACAAATCCTTTGTCAGGATTACACACACACACACACACACACACACACACACACACACACACACACACGGGGCAGGGGGGGAGGACTCTGTAAAGCCTGGAAGGCTAGGAACCATGGCTCCCAGATAGCACATGCCACCCCTTTGCTTTTTTATTGTTCGTGTGCCCATGCCCTGGTCCTGCTGATTTGAGAACAGCAAAGAATGCATTGGGGAGCTGGGATTCACCTGGAAATGAATAATAATCATGTGGACCCCTTGGTTTATTTCCTGACACTGACAGTACATTGTCTGTGGTTAGGGACCTAGAACCTGTTGGAGGCCTGTGTCCAGGCTAGCGGGTCAGCCTTCATCTACACCAGCTCAGTTGTTGTTGCAGGGCCTAGGTGCTAAAAAGACATCATCCTGAATGGCCATGAGATAGAAAAACATGAAAAAACAGTCTCATCCATACCCATACAGCAGAAAGATGGCTGAGAAGGCAGTGCTGGCAGCCAATGGGTCCACCCTGAAAGATGGTGGCACTTTGCACAATTATACCTTAAGGTCTATGTACATCTATAGGGAGGGAACCAAATTCCTTTATAACATAATGATCAGGGCCCTCAAAAATAGTGGTATTCTGGATGTTACTGGAAAATTCTCCATAGTCAACCCAGTGTATGTGGGCAATGTGGCCTGGGCACACATTCTGGCTGCCAGGGGTCTACGAGACCCTGAGAAGTCACCAAACATCCAAGGACAGCTCTACTGCATCTCAGATATCCCCTCACCAAAGCTATGATGATTTACATTGCACCTTGAGCAAGAACTGGGGCTTCCGCCTCGATTCCCGTTGGAGCCCTCCTCTGCCCCTGCTGTACTGGCTTCTGCTCTCAGCTTACTTTCCTTGGAAAGCAGGCAATGCTGTTCACCATGGAAACTGGTTTGAATGCCTTTATCTTCCCACCACATCCTATACTGCTTTTTCTGAGGGACAGCAGAGCCTTGCAATATGGGCTGCAGCTCCCTTAGGCAACCCTAGTTCTCCCTTCTGCCTATTATACTCTGTATAATCAGAAGAAAACTTCACGAGCACCTGGGATGCCACATTTGTCTTGAAAAGTGATACTGGCCAGAAGACAGAGAGACAGAGGTGTTCTCAGCCTCCACTTCAACTGCACAGGATTATCCTCCCAGCCAAACAACTGCCATCTTAGGAAGTTCATCTGTGCCCAAATGTGATCATCCCAGCTGGACTAGTCAACCATTGTTGGAATCACCTTGTAGAAGAAGGGGCAAGAAGGACCATGGGACCCTCACCTGAGTGTCAAGACACTCCATACCACCTGTTATATGCAAGTCTAATCTAGCCACATGTGGCCTCAAGGACGGACTAGAGTACATAGGACTAGAGAGAGGAGAGCTCTGTCTGTTCAGTTATGAGAAAAGTTATCATTTCTGCTTTGTAAAAGACTATTTGGTGTAGCCTCTGCAGGGAGCACCCATGCTCCTATAAATAACCCCTCACCTATGCACTGCAAGTAAGGCCAATAAACTCATTGGTATGGCAGGATGAACTTTGGTAGTACCTTGCCTTGTCAATGGAACCTTAGGAAAGGGAGAAGGCATTGTTTGTGTCTCCTCAGGGTCTGTATCTCATAAGTTCTAGAACAATGATGTATCTGTATAGTTGTTCCCAGTCTTGAGTTTACACCTTTCAGTTTACACAATGGGACAAATTATTAGTTCGCAGCAAAAGAAAGGCAAAAGTATTTTGCCTTTCCACTGAGCTTGAGCTGTGGAGCACAAATCTTGCCTTCCATAGTTAATTGTTTCTCCTTCCTCCATACCCACAGCTTCCTTCCACACCCACAATCTTCTCTCCTTTATTCTTACTCTCTTTCCCTTCTTGCCACTTCCTATATTGTCCATCTCAATTTTTCTGAAAAGAGGAAGCCAATAAAGACAGGTTTGAAATGTAGCAAGACTCAGACAGTAAAGTGTACTTGCCACAGAGCCTGACCACATGAGTTTAATCCCTGGGACCTACATGGTGGAGTGAGAGAGCTGACTCCAGCCATATGTGCCATGGCATTCATGTACACACATGCACACACTAAATAAATAAATGCAAAATTAAAAAAAGAGAAATAAGTTTAGGGAGCTTATGACATGGTTATTTTTTTATAGTTCATTTTAGTTTTTTTTAATATACTAATCCCAGTTGCCCCATCTTCCCTTCATCTTGCCCCCCTATCTGCTCCTCAGAGAGGGTAAGTGATGGTAGATGTCATTCTATTAATATGTTCCTCTTATTGGTTAATGAATAACGCCCTGTTGGTCAATAAGAAGGCAAGATAGGTGGGACTAGGAGACAAGGAGGATTCTGAGAGATGTAGTAGAGGATGTTCAAGATATAGAGACTTGAGAGGAAGAGGCCCAGACCCTCTCTCCAGTAAGACAAGACCACATGGAAATTAATAGTAATGGGTTAATATTTAAGACAGTGCTAGCCAATAAGAAACACTAGTAACAGGCCAACAGCTTTATATCTAATACAGTGTCTCTCTGTGTTATTTGGGGCTGAAGCAGCTCTGAGGCCAGGCTGGCAGGAAAACTGCTCATAACAGGTAAGGCCTCCCATGGGGAGTCAGTGAATTCTGTCCCGTCACCACACGTTGAAGTATGGCCAGCCCTCCCACCACCTGTCCCATGTCAAGGTATCTCTCCATAGGAAATGGACTCCAAAAAGCCAGTTCATTCATTAGGGATAGTTCCTGGTCCCACTATCAGTGGCCCTACAATCTGCCTAAGCCACTCACTGCCACCTGCATCCAGGAGGCCTAATTCAGACCTATGCAGGTTCCCCAGCTGTCAGTCCTGAGTCACTGAACTCCCTCCAGTTCAGGTCAGCTGTTTCTGCAGGTTTTCCCATCATGTTCTTGACCCCTTTACTCATATTACCACTCCTCCCTCTCTTTGACTAGACTCTGGGAGCTTGTTCCACTGGGTAGCTGTGAATCTCTGCATTCCATCAGTTTCAGGAGATCATGTCTATTTCCCCTGCCAAGGCAGGTGCATGTGTGTCATCTTTGTTCCCTAGCTTCTCTGGAGTTGTAGACTGTAGGCTTGTTATCCTTTGCTTTATGTATAATATCTACTTATGGGTCTGTGTTACATCACTCAGGTTGGTTTTCTTTGTTTTGTTTTGTTTTGGTTTTATTGTTCTTGTTGTTGTTGTTTCCAGTTCTGTCCATTTGCCTGCAAATTTCAAGATGTTATAAAGTGGTTCTTAACTGATCTAGGAACCAAAAGCTAAAACCCTGTCAAGTCCACAGAGACAGTGACAATTCACAGCAGGTATACTTTACAGAGGTAGGTTTCTGTCTACTTCCACTCTCAGCACCAAAACTCCATCTGGCTTAGACCTGTGTAGGCCATGTGACTGCCACTTGGTTTCTATGACTTCATATATATGTAAGTCCTCTTGTGTCTAGAGGGTCTTGTTTTCCTGATGGTTTTCATCCTCTCAGGTTCTTACAATCTTTATGCCTCCACTTTTATTTATATATTTATTTGTTTGTTTGTTCTTATTTTACATATCAATCCCAGTTCCCTCTCCCTTCCTTCCTCTTTTCCTCCTTCCCTCCTTCCCTTTCTCCTTCCCCACATGCACCCTGACCACCCTCCCATCCCACGCACCCCCACTCCACATGGAGGGTGGTACCTTCCAGGAGGGGTCAACATAATCTGTCAAGTCATTTGGAGTAGGAACTAGACCCTCCCTCCTTATTCTAAGTTAAGGGAGTATCCCTCCATGGGGAATGTGTTCCCAAAGTCCTTTTGTATACCAGGGATACATCCTGGTTCCACTGTCAGAGGTCCCTTAGACTGCCCAGGCCTTCTAACTGAGACCCATGTTCAAGGGGCCTGAGTCAGTTCCATGCTGGATTCCCAGCTATCAGTCTGGGGGCCCATTAGCTCCTCCTTGTTCGGGTCAACTGTCTCTATGTGTTTCTGTAGCCTGGCCTTATCCTCCCTCTCTGCATCTGGATTCCAGTTCAGCTCAGTGTTTAACTGTGGGTGTCCGCTTCTGCTTCCATCAGCTACTACATGAGGGCTCTATGATGGTATATAAGTTAGTTATCAATCTCATTATCTAGGAAGGGCACTTATGGTAGCCTTTCCACTGTTGCTCAAATTGTTGTGGTCAGTCTTGTAGGTCTCTGGACATTTCTCTAGAGTCAGTTTTCTCTTCAAACCTATAATGGCGCTCCCTCTCCTATGGTATCTCTCTCTGTCTCTCTGTCTCTGTCTCTCTCTCTCCTCTTCTCTCCTCTATTCCTCCCCTGACTCAATCTTCCTAGTCCCACGTGCTTGCCTCTCCTCCCATTCTCTTTCTCCTAGGTCCCTCTCCACTCACTGCCCCCCCCACTCCCAATATGCTCAGGAGATCTTGTTCCTTTCCCCTTCTGTGAGGGACCTTGTATGAATCTCTTAGATTCATCCTTGTATCCTAGTTTCTCTGGAGGTATGAATTATAGGGTGGTGATCCTTTGCTCTATGTCTAAAATCCATGTATAAGTGAGTACATACCATGTTCCTTTTTTTGTGATGGGTTACCTCATTCAGGATGGTTTCTTCAAGTGCCATCCATTTACCTGTGAATTTCAAGATTCCATTTTTTTTGTTTTGTTTTGTTTTTTGGTTTTTCCCCCCACAGAGTAGTATTTCATTGTGTAGATGTGCCACATCTTCTTTATCCATTCTTCAGTTTAGGGGCATCTAGGTTGCTTCCAGGTTCTTGCTATTACAAATAATGCTGCTATGAACATAGTTGAACAGATGTCTTTGTTGCATGGATGTGGATCATTTGGGTATATGCCTAAGAGTGGGATTGCTGGGTCCTGTGTTAGACTGATTCCCATTTTCCTGAGGAACCGCCATACTGATCTCCAAAATGGCTGAACAAGTTTGCACTGACACCAGCAGTGGAGGAGTGTTCCCCTTTCCCATATCCTCCTCAGCATAAGGTGTCATTGGTGTTTCTAATTTTAGCCATTCTGGCAGGAGTAAGATGGTATCTCAGAATTGTTGTGATTTGCATTTCCGTGATGGCTAAGGATGTTGAATACTTTCTTAAGTGTCTTTCAGCCATTTTGCATTCCTCTATTGAGAATTCTCTATTCACTATCCCACTTTTTAATTAGGTTATTTGCTGTTTTATGACTAATTTCATTGTATATTTGGGAGATCAGCCCTCTATCAGATGTGGGGTTGGTGAAGATCTTTTCCCAGTCTGTGGGCTGCCTTTTGGTCTTCTCAGCTGTGTCCTTTGCCTTACAGAAGCTTCTCAGTTTGAGGAGGTCTCATTTAATAATTGTCGATCTCAGTGTGTCTGTGCTACTGGTGTTATGTTCAAGAAGCAGTCTCCTATACCAATTTGTTCAAGGGTACCTCCTACTTTCTCTTCTAAGAGGTTCAGTGTGACTGGATGTATGTTGAGGTCTTTGATCCATTTGGACTTGAGTTTTGTGCATGGCGAGAGACATGGGTCTATCTGCAGTCTTCTACACACCATCATCCAGTTATGCCAGCACCATTTGTTGAAGATGCTTTCCTTCTTCCATTGTATGATTTTAGCTGTTTTGTCAAAAATCATGT